CCCCAAAACCCCAAAACCCCAAAACCCCAAGACACTAAATCTAGGTAAATTAAGGTATTTTGTAAAAATTAGTAATTAAATTTCTTAAGAATCAACTTATTCCTATCATTTAAGTATTTCAGTGATCTAATCTCATGGTTTGATTAGAGTTCCATCTTGATGAACTGAGTCATAGAATCCATTAGCATAGCTTGCAATAGCAAAGAAGTTGCTATAATAAAGAACAACTGCCCATTCAATCAATGGAGTAGGGACTTTGCTGTGATAGAAAATGAATGAGAGCAAAAGAGCTGCCAAAAGAACAACAATAACTCTTGATCCTTGCTTCATTTTGTCAATGCTGTGTGATTCAGCTGGATTGAACTTATCTTTGTTGGCTGAGAGATAATTTCCAAGCATTACACAGTATACACCAAAACACCCAAAGAAAGCAATAGCACAGATTCCATGGATAGTTCCCCATTTGTGCTCATCGAATACTCCAATGAGAGGAAGTGCAAAGCATGAAACAACTCCTAGGTTGAACATGTTATCATTTTATTTGTCGGGGATTATTCCATAAAGCTTCTTATAGAAGGCTCTGATATTAACCTATTAGACTCCAAACATCATGATGGTAGTCAGGATAATGAAAGTTCTATCGTACATAGGAAGTGCAATAACAGTCGATACCATAGGGAAGTCGTGTAAATCACACTCGAAATCGTTATTATGACAAGAAAAATATCCCATAACAATTAGAGAAATGGAAATCAATGCACTCAAAATAATAGTTTGATCCCTTAAGGAAACAGAGATTACTCCATCTTAGATAATGAAGAATCTAGCAAAAATTGACTTGTACTTCTTTTAAGGAGCAGGCTCTTGTGGGTTTTGATTGATTATCATTGATGAGTTATAAGTTTGAACTGGTGAGTAGACCATGAATTAAGAGGGATCTACCTAAGAGGTTTCATTTGATTTCAACATAATGGAATCACTGATTATAATAATTATTGAAATAATTTAACAAGGATTCATATAGATAACTTGCAAATTATATTCAATGAATTCTTGATTTATTATACTTTTCTTTCCCGATTTGATTAATTTTACGGGGTTTTGGGGTTTTGGGGTTTTGGGG